TTCTTTTTTTCTAGATAAACAATTGCCGTGGTTTTGAACAATGGGTTGAAGAGTGGATTGAAGAACTGCCGATCTATTCACCTCAAAATGTGGATGTAGCCAAGTCTCCAGAGGCATCAAATGAAAATGAAGAATTTATAGTCATGACAAGATATTTAAAGTTAATTAGAAGAAGAATGTGCTCTTTTATGCTACTAATATTATGTTATGGAGTCATCATATCTTTTCTTACTGTATTTGTGATTTTCATGTTCTTAGTTACAAGAGTCAATCCTAGTGATTATGTAGAACTTGTTGTTATATGATTTCAAAGAAATTCAAAGAATCACGGTATGGAGTCATCATATTTTTTCTTACTGGATTTGTGATTTCCATGTTCTTAGTTACAGGAGTCAATTCTGGTGGTTATAGAACTTGTTGTTATATGATCTTAAAGAAATTCTAAGAATTGTGGTATGGAGTTATCATATCTTTACTTACTGGATTTGTGATTTCCATATTCTTAGTTACAGGAGTCAATCCTTGTGATTATGTAGAAATTATTGTTATATGATTTTAGAGAAATTCAAAGAAGATTGAATTATTGTCTCAAGACGAATATGTAGAGATAAAACTGAGTCAAGCTACTCGTGAGTAGTTCATGCTCGGTTCAACAATTACTCAAAATCAGCTTGTCTAATTTCGAGTCGAGCTTGAGGTATTCAAGTATCTTGGTGAGTGGAGCTCAAGCTCGTCGATCTCAATTTTCAAGTTGAGGCAAACTCATGCAGAAAATGTTAATGCTCATTCAAGCTCAAGTTGAGTTTTGAGCATTGACTATATGAGTAGAGTCAAGCTTAGGCCTCGAATTTGGCACCGCATCGGCTCAACTCAACTTGATTACATTACTACTGATATGCGCATGAAGAATAGGACTCGAAACAAAAGAGTTCTGAGCAAAGAAACAATGGTTGACTATTGGATACACAAGTTTATACCATTAGATTATGATAATCCCAAAAAAGAAAAAACAGTGGAAGAAAGATCAACATTAGAAAGCAAAACTTGATATGCAGAAGGTGGTTCATCTAAAATTTGGCTTTTGCATTCTATTTCAGAGTAGGAAGATCATAAAAGTCATCCCCTGTTCATACTAATGGATCATGAAAGCAAACCAAAATGCACAATCACTAACTTAAGGGCCAAAAAGGTAGTCTTCTGAATAAGATCTATGAAAAAACAACAACTAAACTAATAATAAAAATTGTGTAGTTAAAGTAAACACCGAATGTTCTCCTAACTTCCAAAATAGATCCAACTAACAGAAACAAATTTTCGAAGATCTTATGTATTAGTTGCTTTCACATTAAACTCGGCTTGTTAAATGATAATCAATGCCTAGTGACTCTGGACTTTTGCTTAAGGTCAATCCTCGCCAAAAGTGACAGTATTACAATTACTTCATGCCTTTGTTTGCTTGTCCCCATCTTAAAAAGAGAAAAAGGTATATATAAATAAGCTAAAAAAATTGATGGAATCAGTATATCACATTAGACAAGCATCATACCTCGTGTGAGGTGTCTCTTGTGCATTAAAAGGCTTTTCTCTTTTGCTTCTCACCAGCGCCCTTCCACTGAGTATGTGATACACTCGTTGGCCTTATCTAAAGGGGATCGAGTACTTGAATTCCATAATTATATGCATCTTCAATTTCATCATTTTCCACTAAATTGGTAATTAACCCTCTTTCGAGCTCTCATAGATATTACATGGAAAAGAAGAGATAAGAAGTGGAAGAAAAACAATAAATTAGATATATTGCTATAGCAATTAATTAGATATTTTTAATTTTTTTTTGGCCAAATAGATACTTTTTATTAAGGGCTAATACCACGAAAAACCTCAAACTAGTATACACGTGACAAATATACCAAAAACTAATTTTTTTACCACAAAAAATTCTAAACTGGTACACTTGTGACAAATTTACCCACCGTCAGTTTTCGTTAAAATGGATTAATACGACGAAAAATCCTAAACTGGTACACTTATAACAAACGAAGAGTAAAACCCCAAACCGGTACATCCGTCAATTGCCAAATGTCCTCCAACTCAGCAAATTAACCGTAAAATTTAACGGAAACTAATGGAGGGTAAATTTATCACAAACGTACCAGTTTGGGATTTTTTATGGTATTAACCATTTTAATTAACTTAATCATTCTTTCATTTTTTTAAATCAAACCACGAAATACTTCTTTCTATTACGTCTTTCATTTTTTTAAATCAAACACACTGACGCAGCCGAGTCGTCTCCTCCTCCAACCTCCCGTTGCTGCTGCTTCCTTCTTCTTTCTCGCCAATGTTCAAACTTTCGGATTTTTACGAGCTCCGTCTTCATTGAAGCTTGTTGGTTACACCATCTCGTGATTACCCAAGTGAGTTCTTCGATCTTTTTAACGTTAGAAGTCTTTTTCCTCTTCCGTGAGAAAGACGATGGATGCTTTCCTTTCTTGATTTGAATGTGGCCTCCTTTATTAGAAATTGGATTGGTGGTGATCAAGAAGAGCTTTCCGGGTTCTTTGTACTTTGAATTGAATTTCCTTGTTGAAGCTGAGACAGATCGTGACATTCCGAATTTCGATCCATTTTTGGGATTTATAAAACGTGTATTTCGTCAGTGTGCTTATAGTAAAATCTCGTTCGGAACTGATCACTTTTGGATTATTTTTAAATTAGAGATTTCGCTAGAATCGCACTCGATCGAATTTAATCGTTATTTAGAGCACGAACTTTGGTGTTGAATTTCTCAGAGTTTCGTGACGAATTTAATTGGACGGTGTCGATATTAATGTGGCCAGTCTCGAGATTGCCCTGGATTGGTACAGATTTGAACTAGTAGACCTCCCTCGTAGTGTGTTTTATTTAGTATCTTTCGACCTTTTTTTAATTTATTATTTGGGATTTTCGTGATCGTTGGATCAAGCTCGCGAGATCGTTTGTGGGCGTTAGATTTGCACTGCACATATGTTGACTTTTCTCTCTCCTCTGCCCACTCACGTCCCTTCCCCCCCTTCACGTCTGTCCTTTTCCCCCTCCTCTTTTCCCCCGCTCACGTTTTCCCCCCTGCCTCTCTCTCTCTTCTTTTTGCTCTTTTTTCTTCTTCTTCTTCTTCTTCGTGGCGGGGCCGCTGCTTCTTTCTTCTTGACGCTCGCCGACCGGACCTGTCTCGCCGGAGCCGCCGACCTTCCAGCCCAGCCACCGCACGCCGTCCGCCTTGCGCCGCCGCTCGCCCGGCCGCCACAACCGTCCGCCCCAGCCACGCCGTCTGTCCAGTCAACTCCTCGACCCAGCTGTCCTCCCCCTCCCCTTCGCGCGAGCAGCAAGTTCGCCGCCGCGTCTGCCGCAGCTCGGCGTTGTCCAATCGCCAGCCGGCCTGACCTACCTCGCCGCGCTGCCTCCAACCGTCGCCGACCCCGCCGTTTCCGCCACCCGACTCCCCTTCCCCTGTTCTGGCTTGCCTTCCCCTGTTCGCCCGCCAGCCATCGTCGCGCCCGACCGACCGGTCGCCGCAGTCGCTGCTGGCCACCGCCGCCGTCGCCGGCTCGCCACCACCGTCCCACCTCGCTGCCGTCCCTCTCCTTCTCCCTCCCCTTCCCAGTCGCTCAGCACCACCACCTCGCCGTCCCCTGCTCAGCTGAGGACGCCTGCCGCCGTCCGCCTTGCCCGCCGTCGCCGTGAGCCGCCGCTCGACCGCCGGAGCTGCTGCTGCCTCGGCGACGTTGCTGCTGCTTCCTTCCCCTATTTCCCTCTCGCTGCTCTCTGCCTCGGCCTCCCGTCGCCGTCGCTGTCCAGCCGCCGCCGGAGCTGCTGCCATTCCGGCGAGGCCCCTGGTCGCCCCTGTTGCCGCCGAGCTGCTGCCGCCTCAGCCGGAGCTCCTTGCCACCCCTGTCCGCCTCCTCTTCCATGTAGCAGCCGCTCATCCGTCGCCGCTGCGCGTTCGCCGGAGTTGCGGCTGTGCCGAGGCTGCTGCCGCAGCTGTTCTGGTTCCCCTCGCTACCCTTGCTCGGCTTGTTCTCGATTAGGCCCGAGGTAAGCGACCCCCTAAACCTCGTATAGGACTTCGGATATTATCAGACTTGTTTAGAGCTTAAATCGGGTGGATTAGGGGCTGGGTATGGCTGATATTGGTTGCTGGAATTGCGGGCTGATCATGGTTGAAATGTGGGTGGATTGGGGTGATCTAGAGACTTAATTAGTGGCTGGTTTTGGCGGGTTTAATTGCTGGTTTGTTAGACTAATGTTGGTTAGTTTATGACTTGGAATGTGAGTCGAATGTGATGAAATGGTGGGCGCGTGTGTGGCTGAATGGTCGCGGCACTTGTGAGTGAATTTCGATGCTCGAGAGTGGATGATTCGTGTTGGTTTGTGGGCCGTATGTGTCCGGCTTGAATACCGGAATTGCGAGCTATTGTAGTGAGCTTATGACTTGGAATTGGGTGATTGAAATGTGTTGGAATGATGGTTGTGCAATGTGGCTAACTTGTGATACTTTAAGGAATGAATTTGATACTTGCATGGATTGATTTGAATGAGTGGTGGTTGAGCATATTATGGCGTTGTTTGAATATGTGATTGACGTGGAATTGATTGAATTATGTGGCGTGTGTGGTTGCTTGAACAAGCCCGGATCGATCGGAGGGCTGCCAACCTGTAGGGTGTTGACCCGGGTTGTGAGAAAGGACCTGTGGGGTGTTGACCCGGGTCGTGAGAAAAGTCCTGAGGCGTGTTGACGCGGGACAAAGCCCGGATTGATCGGAGTGCTCACCTGAGGCGTGTTTACGCGGGTCGTGAGAAAGTGAGAAAGGACCTGTGAGAAAGGACCTGTGGGGTGTTGACTCGGGTCGTGAGAAAGGTCATGAGACGTGTTGACGTGGGACAAAGCCCGGATTGATCGGAGGGCTGACCTGTGGGGTGTTGACCCGGGTTGTGAGAAAGTTGGATGGATGCGTATGTGTATTGTACTTGATAGAATTGGGTGAACGTACGTGTGTATGGTGCTCAAGTGATTGTGATATGTACATGAGATGTTATTGCATTAATGTGAATTAACTATTATGCAGAGTTGGCACTTGGTTTATGGCGAGGTGAGTATGTTTGTGGGGATTCGATTGTGTTGGCTGTTAGATCGCATGTTAGACTCGTCTGGGTACGCATTGGCCTAGGTGGGGTTTAGGTTGTCTGATTATTGAGATTTATTCTCATTGCTGTAGTGCAAACAATTTCAGATCCGCGATCGTGATTGATTTGGATATGCTGCCAAGGTACCTCGGGGATCGAGGACGGGTCAAGTTACCTCGTCTTTTGAGTGTTCCCCTTTTGTAAAGGAGTTAAGCTCACCGACCACCGTCCCCTTTTTGATGAATGTGGTTTGAAGTGAGTGGCATGGGTTGTTATTGTGTATTTATGAATGCTGTAAGTTATGGCATGCAATGGAAATGCATTTATTGATTAGTGCATTTACTATCCCTTGTCATTAACTATCGTCAGGGTTGCTTAAATTTCGCTTCCGCTTGCGTACGTCTTTGCGTGTTTCATGGGTCGGCGACGCGTCCTGGGACGTCGCGTTCAATACTGCCATCGAAGGGGTGTCGCTAGCCCGTTGGGGTTCGGGGCGTGACATGGGTGGTATATGCTTGCACTCTTTCTTGCCCGCCAACTGTTTGATGATTTGTCGACATCAGTTGATTAGTGCTCAAGCGATTCTCTCTTGTTTCCTTTGCGTCTGTTCATGGGTCTAGTTTCGATTCGAACAGGGCTACTTTTAAGTCTTCTTTTATGATGATTGTTGGTATCAAGACCGAACCGAGTAAGACTTGGATAAAGCTCGTGATGATAAATTTGGCTCAAAGTTAGTAGCCCGAAGACCTAAAGGTGGTTGTTTTGTTGGTTTTGAGATTCCTAAATGAGAAAGTCCAAATAATCTAGAAGGTTCGATGCGACTTAAAAGGTCTCTGTTAATTGGTTTCAGCCTATATATTTTTAATTGGATTGTATGTTCCCACTCAGATTTGTAAAAGTACAAGCCAAACTGGTGTCCTTAAGTATATTGCTTTAGATGATCTGCTTCGTATTTCAATATCATGTATCTTCTGTGTTTCAAGAAAAGCTTTCCGATAGCTATTATGATTTTGTTGGTGTGAATTCAAGGAATCAACTAGTTCTTGCACTTGAGCTGATATAAGTTGAGTTGAGCTCAAATTTTCAACCTTTTCGATGACTCGCATTCAAATGTGAATGTTGATGTGCAATTGAGCTAGAGTTGAGTTTTCAGTGTCAATTTTCTAGTTAAGTATCTTCATGCGTCGTACTTACTGGGCTCATTTACACGCCTTGGAATTTTCTTAGTCTGCCAGTTTTGCAATTGTTCTTACTTGTCTACAGAACCTTGAGCATGCATGTGTACTCCACAATGTACAAAAGGGCTTGTATTTTGGAACCACTGGTCAAAGGTAGCCCAACAAGTTCTGGACATTTTTATAGGCTCATAATTGGACAGGACCAAGAGAAAGTGTAAGCTTGGTTGTGAGAGAAGACTACAAACCATTTATCGGACCCAGAAGAAGGCCGAGGCCCGGAACATCTCTGGCTGTGCTGTTTCATTTATTCTTATCTTCTTCTTCTTGAGTGTGTACCATCTTGTTACCGACATTGATAGTTCAGAATGCCTGAAATCTGCTTTTAGAAGTTTATTTTGCGACTAATCAATCATCTGGTCCCTGAATTTGGTCATTCTTTGCTTAATGAGGGATGTTTTTTAACAGAATGGGAACCGACAATGAAAGATCAGGTTCTGAGATGGAGAAGATGTTACTGCTTTACAAAAGTTTCATGGCTAGGTATCCCCTTGGTAACTGATTTTTTCTGTATATGTCAGAATTCAAGTTTTCCTTTAAAGAGTCTTTCCGCACAGTGTGCCTTTCTGCTTCATTTCATTACTGTGCTTGTGTCTTGTGGAACTCCATATCACAGCTAGAAGTATAAGAATGCATATCACAATTCCATATAATCATGTCTTTGAGAATTTTCGGCTTTTTCATCATTGACTATCGCACTACAGTTAACTTACTTTTGTCATAGTGTCCCGTTAATCATACAAGGCTAATTTCCATATGCTTCTCGAGTAGCCAAATATTGAAAGGCAGGTCGTTTTCTTTTGCTTGATCAAATACTGAAGTGGGTCAGCATTTCATTTTATAGGGTCACAAAATTTGATGAAGCGACATCTGCAGGAAGCAGGTTTCTTGTCAGCTTTCAACAAGGGCTAGGTTGTATATCTAAAGTTCATTAAGTTCTCCCTTTTTCTTATATGTCAACATCAATCTCATTCTGGCATCTTCAATGGTTCTCTCTTCATCCTTTTGTAGAATTTGTTCGACGGCCTGCTTTAGACAGAAGTTCTAATTTACTCAAGAATATTATCAAAGCTAACGAAACAGAGAGGCTCACATCATACTTCAACGCTGGATGTATCCATGCTAATGATGGGTCCCAGAGTTTGACAAAGTGTAGGCACAACTCTTTCAATTTCCTGAAATAGTGTAGCTCAACTTTTTGTCTAACTACTTTATGCAGACAATAGATAGACCACCATCACTCAATACCCTTTGGTGACAATAATTACACATTCCTCCACATCTTTGGGGATGTTGTATTGAAGATGTATTTTTCCAATGCCTTTTCTGCTTAGCTTGAAATTTCCATGGACACTCTAATTGATTAGATATTTGGGGTGCGCATGAATACCATTCTGTGCCCGGGCGCTATTTCTGAACAGAAATGATTTTTTTTTATTCTGTGCCCAGAAACAATTTCTGAGTATTTGAAGGCGTTTGATAAACTGTCCAAAATTTCTATTTCTAGAGTAGAAAAGAACAGAAATGCGTTTGGTAACTACACAAAATTTCTGTTCCCAAATAATATTTTGAATTGTTTATTTATTTTTTTCTTTCTACTTTCTTCTTTGGCCATGGCCCGATCGCCGCGACCGGCCACATGCCTGTGGCCGGCGAGGCGTCACGGACCTCGCCGGCCGCCGGCGGAGCGAGGGTCGCCCTCGCCGGCGAGCGAGGCGGACCCTCGCCGCCGGGCGAGGCGACCTCGCCCAGATCGAGCGAGGCCGAGCCTCGCCGTCGCGACCCACGGCGAAGCTAACCTCGCCGTGGGTCACGACGGCGAGGCTCGGCCTCGCTCGATCCGGGCGAGGCCACCTCGCCCGGACGGCGAGGGTCCGGCCCTCGCCGGCGAGGGCGACCCTTGCCTCCGCCGGCGGCCGTTGAGGGCCGTGACGCCCTCGCCGGCCCTGGGCTGTGGCCGGTCGCCGGCGGCCGGCCCAGCCGAGGGAAGAACAACACAAAAATAAGAAAAGAAAAAAGAAAAAAAAAACTGATTCTCAAAATTGTGCCGAGAAACAAGAAGCAACTTTTTTTTACTTCTTGTTTCTCTTCCAAAACTGTTTCTCGGCACAAATTTTTGCAAAAATGTGCCAAGGAACAAAAAATTTACCAAACGCATTTCTGTTCCCAAACTATTTCTGGGAACAAAAGAACATAAATTTTCACTATTTGGCACGTTACCAAACGGGGCCTTGGCGTCTCTTCCATATATAAAATTATGTGCTCACTCTGATTGGTAATATTATATTTCAATGTAGCATCATTATAAAAATAGCAACAGTACATAGTCTACAGACTTGAGGATTTGTAAATATATCTTGGATAGGAATATCTTATTTCAGCCACTATTTCCTACTTATTAGGTGTCATTTTTGCACCTGAACTGACTGTGAGGGTCTACTGTTTTCCTTTAATGTGCATACAGAAGTACATACTTGTGTTCTTGGTCTTCACAGCCTTGTGAATACAGGTAACATTTTATTACATAGAATCCGATTTTGAAACCTGTATGCAAGAAATAATGCATTGGTACATATTTTTCAATGTGCTTCTCTCATTATGTACTTAAATCAAATTTTTGTTGATTATCGGATTTGTTAGCATCTATTGCCTCTAGACTCCTCAAAAAATTTATCTTTAGGATGGTGACTGATGTCTCATTGTAGGTGGTTTTCATAGAGTTTAGTGTAGGATCCTTCAGAACAAATATTTAACATACTATTTTGAGATTGATCAAAATCTAGGATATTCTAATCTTCTGTATGTGTACTTTTCTCAATTGAGGGCATAACTCAAATGCATGTTTCAGTTGATCTTTTGTCCTAATTACATTATAGCTGAAGTATTAAATCTCTAACACATACATCATAATCTGATCAAAACAACAAACTTTTGTCGCTCTTTTGAGATTGACCAAAATCTAGGATATTGTAATCTCCCATAGATGTAATTTTTGCAATGGAGGGCATAATTCAAATGCGTTTTTTTTAGGTCTAATTGTGTTATAATCAGTCTTTTAAATCTCTATTACATCAACATCTGATAAAAGACCTTGTTTAGTCCCCTAAGCATTTCTGTTGATTTCTCTTTCCCAACTACAATTGTGATATTAAGGTGTGTATAATGTGAAGTTTCCTAATCGACAATTTCCACTACTGTGATGACCATTTTGTTAAGTAATGTTGAACCTTTGTCCAAAATGATCTAATACATGCTGCTTAAAAGGTTTTTGATATATTGATCTGTCTGTATGTTGTTTGTTTTAGTCGGCAAATAAGTGACACGAGTTGCTGGAAACTTTGCAACTTGATGTTTTCTCTCTTAAAAACATATGGAGCATTTATAAACCCAAAAAATGGTAACATATGGAGCTTTTAAACCTTACTGAATACTTGATACAAAGCCAGAGCAAAATGGCATATTTTGAACCTTATTGAATACTTGATACAAAGCCAGAGCAAAATGGCATAAAGGTTTCATATATCCGACCCCATTTATGGGATAAGGCTTAGTATGTTGTAGTGGTGGTGGTCTTTGTCACTGTCGTTGTTGTTGTGCAGATGCAAGTGCTACGCGTATTTTAGGATGACACCTCTTGGGAATTTTGTTTTTCCAGTTTATTACTTTAGTTTTTAGTTAGGGGAGGACGAAGAGAGTGGGAGAAAAGGAAGAAAGAGATAGGTGGTGGGGATTCCCATGGTTGCACCATTTTGCTTTTTCTTATTTTCCGGCACCACAAAATACAGTTCCTTATAGACTTGAAATTAAAAAGAAATTATTACTTACGCAAACAGCTTTCCAATTTTGTTGCTGCAGCCAAAACTATACTGATTGAACTTGAGGGTCTTCTAGAGGATGTAATCAAGGTCTTAGAAGCTGCGAATGAGTATTTATTACCATCTCAGGATGAAGACATTGATGCTAGATTGATGGGGGAAGCGACTAATGCTGACGAGGTGGGCTTAGATTTTACTTTATTATTGTTGCTCCAAATGCTGTTCTATCTCTGATGTGAGAAATTCAAAATTTCATTGGTCTTTAGACAGCATTCTTTTTCTTGACGTACTAATATCTTGTTGCATTCTTCTATGTGCATCTTGAAGCGATAATTGTATCACTTAATTCATTGAGAAGTATAAAGTCAGTATTCATTCATTTCAATGTGCATTTTCAAACAGAGAGGATCCTCTTATTCTGCCAAATTTAACTACAGATTATCTCATGTATTCAGACATAAGATTTGGATGCAATCTTTTGTTCTGGATGGCTGGTGAGTTACATGTTGCAGGAGGTACCTGCTGCTGGATTAGTATTTGGGTTATTATTTAACTAACTTTAATACAATATCAAACTAACAAACACATGCATAAGTAGAACTAAGCTGGAAATTACAGCATTCAAGACAATCTAAATATTATAATCTGGTCATACGTTCTTTCAAGTTGAACCATTTGATCCAAAGCTAATATTATTTAATGTGTAGTTATTTGGGTTTTTATAATAATATGCTTGTATTCCAACTTGCAAGTTATTTCTTTTAAGGTGAACCAGTTCATCTCAAGGCCTTGTGGTAACAAGACCTTTTTCATTTGGGTAGCAGCGTGGATCCGTTGTCATTGTTGAGTGGGACAGTTTTAACTGTCTTATTAGGGACAAGTATGCTCAACGGGATATTGAGTTTGTTTGCTAATTATCTTTGACATTAAGGTGCTAAACATCTGTTAATTTTGACACCATTGTACTGATTTACATTTGTGATCTGCCCTGGTGGTTTCCTTGTACTTTTGAAATGTCCAAAATAAGATTTTTAGTGTATCAAGCAGTACAAGTGTTACATGATCCAACAGCATTACTGCTCAAATCATACTTAAAAGTTGATAAAAACTTGTGATAGAATTTTTTACCAGGATACAACATTCGTGTGTACATAGCATACCTTCATCTATGTAACTTATGCATACATGCAAATACAGTAATGAGTGCCGATGTGATGCAATCTGGTTTGCATTTGTTCTACCGTTAGATTTTTCTTTTCATTGGCTATTCATGTTATTCTATTTTTAATTTTTAGATTTCTTTATACTTCATTCAGGAGGAAACTGCATCATCTGATTCTAGGAGACCTGAGCTCACGGAGTATGCTACCATGATGGGTGTTATTTACAGTATGATTAAACAAGACTTTGTCATGCAGGTATCAAACCCATCACTTTTTGCTGAATAAATTGTTAGTAATTTAATTTACTTTGTCATGTCTCTTTATATGTAACGATACCTGATTTCCGGTGTTAAATCGTTGATTCTCATTGCAGGAGAAGATTGTCTCTGCTCTGAATCTGAAGCTATCATCCGGAGAATTAGAAACCTATTGCACTATATGGTCTCTGCGTCCTTTCATTGATGATGAAATCATGCATCAGGCTTGGTCATTCATTCCTTGACCATGTCCCTTATGCAAATTGTTGCCATATAACATGTTTGTCGACCGAGGAAGGATGTTGGGGACTATCTAGAGGTGGCAAACATGAGGGTCAACAGTACTTGGATTCTTTCAGGTTCGGGTCATTCCTGGTTCTGCCTCCTCAGCTCTAGAGTACGGGTTGGCTCTAGGGTTGAAGTCACCTGGGGTTTACCTTTCATTGGATAAAGGCCAGATTTTACTCAGATATATAGCTCAGTTGCAACTTTCTTCGGGTTTATGATAATCCTGAGTTTGTTTTTTCGGAAGTGTCCAGTCAGATCAGACAATACTAGGATTTGTAAAGCGTTATATAACTTTTCGTGTCAAATCTAAGTTCTTTCTTCCATAAAGTGGCATTCCCCAAGCTATTGTGCAGCAATGTGGCTCTGTATTGTGTTTCATGAAAAAATTAAGTAATCACAGTTTGTCGAGTTACGTAGAAAGATAAAACGAAGTATTGTTTGGCAGAAGAAAATTTGGGTTAGTCATTATTACATTCTTAAAGCATAGTCTTTTCAAATATCCTCCAATAATCTTTGAAATGGTATTATAACGACATGTTTAAAAGAAAAACTCTATGGGTACCTCGATGAAAATTTTTACCCATTGTTTTGATTTCTCAAACATATTCACTAACGTGGCCTGATGTTTCATTCAACTATCCTATCGTGTCCGGGAACAGCTTTATAATACAAGAAAAAACTTTGTTCACCATATTGGCGCCAGGGACAGGTTTGTTTTGGATAATAATAAGACAATTTCTCACCAAAAAAATATATTTTATCAAAAAGAAGTTATTGAGAAGTTCTTACATGATTTCGAATAGATTGAAATATCAAAATTAATGTCTTTTTTCTTTACATCCCGGTCGGGCTCCCTGGAGGCCTAAGAAACACCGTACAAGCCTTACGAATCAGTTAAATTCAGGGCTTTAGTTGTGTATGCGGCCGTAATGCATAGCAAACCACACGCAATTGATAAGATTTGAATGGGCGAAGTCTAATTTCTGAGCTGAAAACTCCGATGCCCCAACCAACCGCACCAACACAGGTTTAAATCTCTATGTTTCTAAACCCTTGAGGCGTTTGGCGTTAAACAAAAGCCAGAATACCCTTGCCACAAAAAACAAAAGCCAGAATATTAGTGGCTACAACGTTTTGAGCACAAAGATTAAATTACTAGCACATCCTTACAATTTCTCATGAGAACTCAAGAGCTTCTTCACGTCACCTTACCACGGACACTATTGGTTATTCCTCACATTTCTTGCATTCCATCATTTTTTTTCCTTTTCATACCATTTAATCTGTACCTTTTGTTTCTAACGCACGTTCAAATATGCACGAATGAATATGGAAACCTCGCAGGGAAAGTTTGTCGAAATTTTAACACTAACTTGCACTTAGAACTGAAATGACTTACAGATAAAACACTGCTCTGCAATGATAGCATGACTAACTTAACCATTTAGTAATTATCTTTTTAACCCGATAAATGGATAAATAGCCATTATACTTAACCTTAGAATCTGGTGTTTATGTTACTTGGGCGTTATCATAGTTTCAGCAGAATAAACATTCCGGATTAGATATATATTCAAACCGTATCCACGATATATGTCGAGATTATAGGAATCGATTTTATTTCTCCGAGGTCACTTGATTTCACTTCACACCTCATTATCAATGCGATCAGGGATACTTCCATTTATCTAACTTTGATTTGTCACAAAAAACCCAACTCTTGAATGAATAAGAACTATGTAGCATTCACCAAACTATAACAAGTATCACACCTTGTGAGGATGATCAAGAGATATTTTTTTTTTTTACATATTTTCTTTATTCTAAAGCTCTTAAATCGATATTGCGAGCTGATCTCAGGTTTGGTTGATTCGGTCATGCTCTATATATAGAATGAACATTTTCACTTTATTTCACAGCTTAATGTGATTAACAAGGTATACCTGGCGTGTACACGAACCTGAACAAGTATCAAGGAAACTATTAGCAGACGAATCAAACAATTTCCACAACGTTAGCTCCAGACACTCCTCCACCCTGTGCTAGCATGCGGGATCCCATCAACTGAGCCCTGATGAGATATCTGCTTTAGCACGGCCCAGGCCCCGTCCCCGCTGGCGTCTCTGAGCCCTCGTCTTCCTCCCATCCCTTTTTGCCTTGATTTTTTCTTTCAAGTCTCTCTCGCCTCGCCTTTTGTACATCTTGAAAGTGATCTGTCTATCCTCAGCCATCTTTCTCACTTTCTCGGTTATCTCTGCCGCAATTTGTCGGTTATACAGCTTTCTAAGGCCCCGCATGAGCTTAGCAAATGTATCTGGCTGCGGCATTACATTTGCTTCCATCATGTCCAAGCAATATGAACACGCCTCTTTAACATGCCCATTTGAGAAGAGTGCATGAATCCAGATTGTCCAGGCATAAACATTGAGATCACATCCTTTCGTCAAGATGCAACTCCAAACGTCTTTAGCCATTTCAAGTTTTTCAGCTCTTAAAAGAGAATTCAGCAAGTCTTTCAATGTGCCATAATTAGGAGCTGATAGAAGACCTCTTCCCACCATCTCTTTAAAATAATCGGATGCTTCAACTAGATGACCATGTGCAATGAGTCCATGAATCATGATAACAAAACTGTCCAGACCTGGACTAAGCCCGCTTGCTTCCATTTGATTCCAAAGCTCAACACCTTCCTTAATCTCGGCCAGCTTACATGCTAACCTGATCGCCACATTGAAGATGCTAACGTCGGGAACACAGCCAATCTTCTTCATTTCCTCAATGAGTTCCAAAGACTCTTCCAGCTCTTCCTTCTTCTCATGAGCCAACATGATATGCAAATATGTTGTTGCACATGGGATATGACCTTGCTGTATCATCCTATCCAGTAGCTCGTAAGCGTTATCAAGTTTACCGCATTTGCAAAATCCACTAATCAGTGTAGTGTACGTCACACCATCCGCCTCGCAGTTGTTCCTGTGCATCTCAAGCAACATGCGCATAGCCTCCTCCATTTTTTCTCTGGAACATAGGGCTTGTATTAGAGTAGTATAAGAAGCTGCGTTAGGCTCACAACCCTTTCGCTTCATCTCTTTCAACAGATCGTATGCATCCACCATTTTCTGCGCTCGTGCATACCCGCTCAGGAGATTGTTGTAGACAACAATATCTGGTTCAAAACCAGCCTCTCTCATTTGCACCAACACATGTTTTGCCTCCATAAGCTTCCCTTCTCTACACCAGCCATAGAGCAGTGATGTGAAATGCTTAATACCTGGTGTGAACCGATATTTCATTTCTCCGAATAAAGCAGCTGCTTCTTTTACACTACCATTTTTACACAAAGCATCCAACAAGCAACCAAATGCATATTCATCTGGCTCACAGCCATACTTGGGCATCTCATCCAGGACTTCTATTGCTTTCTTTACCATTCTCGATGACGCAAACCTCCTCATCAAGATAATGAACAGCTCTGGTGATATCAACTGAGGGTTCTCCTTTCTCATCTCCTCAATTAATGCCCAGACAGCACCAAAATGCCTCATTTTCCCTAAAATCCTAATCATTGCTTTATAGACGTCGTAGCTATGTCTATAACCCGGCTGCTTTGAAGCCCACACAAAGAAGCTGTAACCCAAATTGCCTGCATCACCACAGCGGTTCAACACGCGCTCTGTCAATCCTGACCGCATGATAATTCCAGACTCTTGTAAGGCGAGCTCCATTTTGGGAGCTCTAGAGTGAAAGTTCCTCAGAATCCTATATATCTTTTCCACATCTGCGGCAAACTCATCATGCCTTCCTTCATCTGCACAATCATCATGGATGTTTTCAAGGTAGACAAGGCCAGGTCCAGTTTTTGAGTCTGCTTGAGAAGTGTTGCAGTTCCCAGGTTTGGTTGGTCTGTAATTTGGATTGGGTTGTGATGGAATTTCAAAGGAACGAGACTGTTGATGAGAAGAGGGTGTGGAAGAAATAAATTTGGCGATCTCAAAGAACCACTGGCTATAAATGGAGGGAACATTCGACGAAGATGGTCGAATACAATTTTTGCACAAATGAGGAAGTGCTCTCGAAAAGAAATGCATTTTCACTTTTGACTTTTCTTATTGCCATTGAATAGTCTGAATCCTAGTATCATCTCATTGGCCTCTGATCCTTCCACTCTAGAATCTACCCTGCTCCAAACAAAAAGAAAATTTACATAAGCAACAGACTGAGAACAGAGTCAGAAATCAAAGTTTACCATATAATAACAAACAAAGTTCAGTCACAAAATGAAAACCCAGCCTTGACAACCAATAACAGAGTTTAGGCGTTTCAACAGTACATGAAAGAGAGTATTTATTCCGTCAACACGGTTTCTTGGAAAAAAAAAAAACCAATGTGTCCTGAGACATCTATCGAACAGGTGGTGTGCACGGGCAACACTGCTACATCAAGCACCATAGGATCTGCCCGGCGCTAAAAAAATCAGCAACTAATGCTTACCCACAACGCAAAACCACCAAAAAGTTGAGAAAGCACTGAAATTTGCAACGTACCGTGAAGCATTATATAAAACCGCAAGACAAGAAGACAGGAACATGAACATCGAACTATACTGTTAAAATCGACAAGTGAGTACTTACCATTGTCTCTTCTTGATCCGCACAGGTCAGATTGGAGCGACGAAAAGAGAGACCAAAGCAGGAGAAATGGAGGAAGTGAAGGAGCTGCAACTGGTTTGAACTTGCGTTAAAATGGTGCCGCAAGTGTCGGGGATTCAAGAAAAGATGGATGAAGGGAAGCGAAGTTAATCGGTTTGGATTTATACGTTGGATTGCAGAAAATAAATAATTTAAAAAAATAATCGTTTATATTATTAAAAAAATAAATGAAAATTTTTTTGGCATAATTTGTTATCAATAATGAAAATATTTTTCGTTGACTAATTTTTCTAAATAATATAAGAAATCATTTTTCGGAAAATATTTTCTAAATCGTTCATTTATGCCTCCTAAATTGAATTTTTTTTTGTTGGAAAGTCGAACCAATTTAAATCTAAGTACCAATATTAAGTCTATTTTATATACATGACTACTTAACTTTGCCTAATCATTGTGCTAAACTCTTTTGTTTATCAGGCTGCAAACGTGGTTCTTTATGTAATGAAAGAAAAGAGTAGAGAAAGTGACTAGTGTAACACAACAATCCTTTTTGGTGTCATAGTAAAAAAATTTGCACAAAATCCCTCCGAATTTTGAGAACTTTAAGGTAGTACCCGTTTGTTCCTAAACTTTTGATCATTACACATTATCTTTTGAACTTTCATATTGTTACTACGTTGACCCTTCATTTA